TGCATCCAAACAGGGTTTGGGATGTATATTGTTGCAATTTGGGAAGGTAATCGCATACCCCTTAAGACAATTAAAACAACATGAGCAAAACTACCCTACTTATGATCTAGAGTGGTGGCAGTAATACATGCTCTAAAGATATGGCGTCACTATCTTTGTGGGGAAAGCGCGATATTTATACTGATCACAAGAGCTTGAAATACTTTTTCACTCAAAAGGATTTGAATATGAGGCATAGAAGGTGGTTAGAGTTAGTTAATGATTATGACTGCACTATCTATTACCATCCTGATAAGGCTAATGTAGTTGCATATGCTCTTAACAGGAAGACAATGAGACAATTAGCAGTTCTACCCACAACTCAAGTGCAATTGGTAAGGGAGTTTGAGAAATTGAATTAGAAGTTGTTATTCCACCGGCTCGTGTTATTGCAATGGTTACGGCATCAAAGATTCAACCTACTCTTAGGGGTCGAATCAAGGATGCCCAAGACAATTACCCATTTATGAGAAACATTAAGGCAGAAGTTGGTACAAGTAAAAGAAAAGGTTTTGCAATAGCAGATGACAATGCTTTGATATTCGAGAGAAGGTTATGTGTACCAAAAGATGAGGGATAAGAAAAGAGTTATTAGAAGAAGCTCATTTTGCCCTGTACGCCGCACATCCTGGTGGTACTAAAATGTATCAAGACCTTCGCGATATATTTTGGTGGATGAATATGAAAAAAGTGATTGGTCTCTTTGTAGAGAAGTGTATAGTATGTCAACAAGTTAAAGTTGTTCATCAAAGGCCATCAGGGCCATTAAATCCATTGGAAAGTTCGGAGTGGAAATGGGAGCAAATAGCGATGAATTTTGTTGTTGGTTTTCTGAAGTCAACGAAAGGATACGATGCAATCTAGGTAATTGTGGATAGATTGACAAAGTCAGCTCATTTTCTTCCAGTAATAATGAACTACAGTATGGATCAATTTGCCCAACTATATGTTAAGGAAATTGTTAGGTTGCATGGAGTTCCAGTATCTATTGTCTCAGATCGAGATCCAAGGTTTACTTCCAAAATTTGGAAGAGCATGCAAATAGCTATGNTTGTGGATAGATTGACAAAGTCAGCTCATTTTCTTCCAGTAAGAATGAACTACAGTATGGATCTATTTGCCCAATTATATGTTAAGGAAATTGTTAGGCTGCATGGAGTTCCAGCATCTATCGTCTCAGATCAAGATACAAGGTTTAATTCTAAATTTTGGAAGAGCATATAAGGAGCTATGAGGACAAGGTTGAATTTGAACATTGCCTATCATCCTCAATCTAATGGACAATCTGAAAGGACTATTCAGGTCTTAGAAGACATGCTTCGGGCATGTGTATTGGATTTGGGAGTTAGTTGGGAGTCACACCCATCGTTAGTGGAGTTTGCATACAATAATAGTTTTCAGACTACAATTGAGATGGCTCCTTATGAAGCTCTATACGGTAGAAGGTGTAGATCCCCGGTTCATTGGGATGAAGTTGGAGAAAATTGAATTTTAGGTCCAGAAATTATTACATAGAAATAGAATAAAGTCAGTACAA